TTAGGGGAAAAAAACGGTGATCCAATCTCCGACCCCCAGGAACAGGTTCGCAGATTTGCTGAGCATTTCTGTGGGGTCCTGGGGGAGGGAAAATCCCTCAGCCAGGAAAACATCGTGGCACAAAGTGAGGATGACCCTGCTGAGGCTGCGGTGCCTCAAATATTGGAAGAAGTCACCCCCTGTGAGTGGCTGGCTGAGGTGCCATCTGCTGAGGAAGTATTGAAGGCGATCCGGAGTCTGAGACCAGGAAAGGCAGCGGGCAGAGATGATCTCCCAAGCGAAATGCTGAGGGAGGGTGGCGTTTGTGCACAGACTGCCCTATATGATATCATAACAACAGTCTGGACCACTGGACGGGTTCCGCAGGATTGGAAGGATGCCCTGGTGGTCCCCATTTTTAAGAAGGGGGACCGCACAGACTGTAACAACTACAGGGGCATCTCACTCCTCAGTGTGCCGGGAAAGGTCCTGGCAAGGATTATTCAGCATCGCCTTGCCAGGCACGCTGAGGAGAGGCTTGCGGAGCCCCAATGCGGTTTCAGGATAGGGCGGTCCTGCACAGATGCCATATTTTCTGTCCGTCTGCTACAGCAGAGGTGTAGGGAATTCCAACAAGACCTACATCTCTGCTTTATTGACCTGGTCAAGGCCTATGATACCATCAGTAGGCCTGGGCTCTGGGTCGTTCTTCGTGCTTTTTGAGTACCTGACCCTCTGCTCACGATCATTAAGGACCTTCATGATGGTGAGCGGGCCCAGGTAAAACTACGTGGCCGGGAGTCAGAGCCATTCCCTGTACACCTTGGGGTGCGACAGGGATGTCTTCTGGCTCCCACATTATTTAACATCTATTTTGACCACGTAGTTCGTGAAGCCTTCAATAGCTGTACCGGGTGAATCTCCATATGGTACAGATATAATGGGAGGCTAATCGATGCCCGGGTGCGGTCAAGGGGTGGCTCCCTATTGCTCAACCATGTTATGTATGCTGATGTTTTGGTAATAGCTGCTCAGTCAGAGGAGGAGTTGGAGACGCTGCTGCTGAGACTGGAGCGTGCCACTAAGAGGTGGGGCCTTACCATCAGCCCCACAAAAACTAAGCACCTGCCTGGGTATTTTGTACCATCGGACACTCCACCCCCACGACTCCCAATCGGTGATGGGGCAGTTGTGGAGAGAGTGGAGAGTTTCCCATACCTGGGCAGTGTGCTTATGACTGGCTCCAGTTTAACAGCAGAGGTCTCACTCCGAATCAGTCGAGCGGCAATATCTTTTCATCGGTTGCGTAACGCTGTGTGGAAGCTACCTGGTCTGTCGCTCCGCACTAAGCTTCAGGTCTTCTCGGCCACGGTCATTCCCTCCCTTCTCTACGCTTGCGAAACGTGGACCCCCCTAATGGAACATCTTCGCCGGTTAGAAACATTTAGGCTGGCCTGCCTACGATCCATCCTGGGTTTAACCAGACTGGATTGTGTGAGGAGCTCACAAATCCTTGAAAGATCTGGGCAGGGTCCCATCGGTGAGCTACTCCGGCAGGCAAGGCTGCGATGGCTGGGTCATGTAGCCCGCATGCCCAGCCACCGCATGCCGAAACAGCTTTTGTTTGGCCGGATTGAGGGGGCTAAGCGGGCGCGGCACGGGCTAGAGAAGAGATGGAGTGATGTGGTACAGGGAGGACGTGGAGCTGAGTGGACTTGCCGATGACTGGTACCAGCGGTGTCAAGATCGGCCTCTGTGGAGGAGGCTCGTGAAGGATGCTACTGGGCAGTTGGAGGCAGTCGCCCTCCAACAACAACGGAGGGCGGAGGAGCGACGCTCAGAACAACGAGCAGAGCGCCGGGTGGCTAAAGCACAGCAGGTTGGCACAGTAGGGGGCACAGGTGGTGCATCAGCCAGTCATCTCAGTCAGTCGACCCGTGGCACCTGGGTCTGCCCCGTGACCTCCTGCCAGCGGGCGTTCGACACTTCACGTGGCCTCAGGGTGCACATAGCCTGGCACAAGCGTCGTGGTGACGTCACCGCCACTTAGTGGCGAATGGCTGTTGTTGTTGTTGTCACTGTGTGTGTGTCACTGTGTGTGTGTCACTGTGTGTGTGTGTAACTGTGTGTGTGTGTCACTGTGTGTGTGTGTCACTGTGTGTGTGTCACTGTGTGTGTGTGTCACTGTGTGTGTGTGTCACTGTGTGTGTCACTGTGTGTGTGTCACTGTGTGTGTGTGTCACTGTGTGTGTGTCACTGTGTGTGTGTGTCACTGTGTGTGTCACTGTGTGTGTGTCACTGTGTGTGTGTGTGTGTGTCACTTAATTCGCGGTTTAGTGGTAATTAATTGAAGGTGGAGGGGTTACCAGCCCCTCGCACCCGTCCAGAGCCCCCGTTTAGCCCCTGTGGTGGACACAGACGCCATGAGGGGAGGAGCCAATCAAAATTGGACCTCCCCCCACAGCACTGTCCACGACAGAGTTGCCCGTCCGGCACCGCGAGGAGGTAGGGGGTTGTTTTGCCGGACAAGGATTATTCAACATCGCTTTGCCAGGCACGCTGAGGAGAGGCTTGCAGAGCCCCAATGCGGTTTCAGGAAAGGGCGGTCCTGCACAGATGCCATATTTTCGGTCCGTCTACTACAGCAGAGGGAATTCCAACAAGACCTACATCTCTGCTTTATTGACCTGGTCAAGGCCTATGATACCATCAGGAGGCCTGGGCTCTGGGTTGTTCTTCGTGCTTTTGGAGTACCTGACCCTCTGCTCACGATCATTAAGGACCTTCATGATGGTGAGCGGGCCCGGGTAAATCTACGTGGCCGGGAGTCAGAGCCATTCCCTGTACACCTTGGGGTGCGACAGGGATGTCCTCTGGCTCCCACATTATTTAACATCTATTTTGACCACGTAGTTCGTGAAGCCTTCAATAGCTGTACCGGGGGAATCTCCATTTGATACAGATACAATGGGAGGCTGATCGATGCCCGGGTGCGGTCAAGGGATGGCTCCCTATTGCTCAACCACTTTATGTATGCCGATGATTTGGTAATAGCTGCTCATTCAGAGGAGGAGTTGGAGACGCTGCTGCTGAGACTGGAGCGTGCCACTAAGAGGTGGGACCTTACCATCAGCCCCACCAAAACTAGGCACCTGCCTGGGTATTTTGTACCATCGGACACTCCACCCCCACAACTCCCAATCGGTGATGGGGCAGTTGTGGAGAGAGTGGAAAGTTTCCCATACCTGGGCAGTGTGCTTATGACTGTCTCCAGTTTAAGAGCAGTAGGTCTCACTCGAATCAGTCGAGCGGCAATATCTTTTCATCGGTTGCGTAACGCTGTGTGGAAGCTACCTGGTCTGTCGCTCCGCACTAAGCTTCAGGTCTTCTCAGCCACGGTCATTCCCTCCCTTCTCCTACGCTTGCGAAACGTGGACCCCCCCTAATGGAACATCTTCGCCAGTTAGAAACATTTAGGCTGGCCTGCCTACGATCCATCCTGGGTTTAACCAGACTGGATTGTGTGAGGAGCTCACAAATCCTTGAAAGATCTAGGCAAGGTCCCATCGGTGAGCTCATCCGGCAGGCAAGGCTGCGATGGCTGGGTCATGTAGCCCGCATGCCCAGCCACCGCATGCCGAAACAGCTTTTGTTTGGCCGGATTGAGGGGACTAAGCGGGCGCGGCACGGGCTAGAGAAGAGATGGAGTGATGTGGTAGCAGGAGGACGTGGAGCTGAGTGGACTTGCCGATGACTGGTACCAGCGGTGTCAAGATCGGCCTCTGTGGAGGAGGCTCGTGAAGGATGCTACTGGGCAGTTGGAGGCAGTCGCCCTCCAACAACAACGGAGGGCGGAGGAGCGACGCTCAGAACAACGAGCGGAGCGCCGGGTGGCTAAAGCACAGCAGGTTGGCACAGCAGGGGGCACAGGTGGTGCATCAGCCAGTCATCTCAGTCAGTCGACCCATGGCACCTGGGTCTGCCCCGTGACCTCCTGTCAGCGAGCGTTCGACACTTCACGTGGCCTCAAGGTGCACATAGCCTGGCACAAGCGTCGTGGTGACGTCACCGCCACTTAGTGGCGAATGGCGATTGTTGTTGTTGTATCTGTGTCTGTGTGTGTGTCACTGTGTGTGTGTCACTGTGTGTGTCACTGTGTGTGTGTCACTGTGTGTTTGTCACTGTGTGTGTGTCACTGTGTGTCACTGTGTGTGTCACTGTGTGTGTGTCACTGTGTGTTTGTCACTGTGTGTGTCACTGTGTGTGTCACTGTGTGTGTCACTGTGTGTGTCACTGTGTGTGTGTCACTGTGTGTGTCACTGTGTGTGTGTCACTGTGTGTGTGTTACTGTGTGTTTGTGTCACTGTGTGTGTGTCACTGTGTGTGTCACTGTGTGTGTCACTGTGTGTCACTGTGTGTGTCACTGTGTGTGTGTCACTGTGTGTGTGTGTGTGTCACTGTGTGTGTGTCACTGTGTGTGTGTCACTGTGTGTCACTGTGTGTCACTGTGTGTGTGTGTCACTGTGTGTGTCACTGTGTGTCACTGTGTGTGTCACTGTGTGTGTGTGTCACTGTGTGTGTCACTGTGTGTGTGTCACTGTGTGTGTGTTACTGTGTGTGTGTGTCACTGTGTGTGTGTCACTGTGTGTGTCACTGTGTGTGTCACTGTGTGTGTGTGTCACTGTGTGTGTCACTGTGTGTCACTGTGTGTGTCACTGTGTGTGTGTCACTGTGTGTGTGTGTGTGTCACTGTGTGTGTGTGTGTCACTGTGTGTGTGTCACTGTGTGTCACTGTGTGTGTGTCACTGTGTGTCACTGTGTGTCACTGTGTGTGTGTCACTGTGTGTGTCACTGTGTGTCACTGTGTGTGTCACTGTGTGTGTGTCACTGTGTGTGTGTCACTGTGTGTGTGTCACTGTGTGTCACTGTGTGTCACTGTGTGTGTCACTGTGTGTGTCACTGTGTGTGTCACTGTGTGTGTGTCACTGTGTGTGTGTGTCACTGTCTGTGTGTCACTGTGTGTGTGTCACTGTGTGTGTGTGTCACGTGACCAGGCTCTACGTCACCGCGTGCTGGACGAGCGAGGGACCCCCGTCGAGGTCGCGACCTCCGTCGAGCTGAAGGGCATTGTGGGTAACGATGGCCGCCACTACGTCCTCGACCTCCTGCGGTGCTTCCCCTGTGACCTCAACTTCCTGCCACCACCCCCCCCATCAGCAGCCTCCACTGGTGGTGGGTGGGGGGGTGGGTGGGGGGGTGGGGTGGGGGGGTGGGTGGGGGGGTGAGTGGGGGGTTGAGTGGGGGGGTGAGTGGGTGAGTGATTGGGTGAGTGGATGAGTGGGTGAGTGATTGGGTGAGTGTGTGAGTGATTGGGTGAGTGGGTGAGTGATTGGGTGAGTGGGTGAGTGGGTGAGTGGGTGGGTGAGTGGGTGGGTGAGTGGGTGGGTGAGTGGGTGAGTGAGTGAGTGGGTGGGTGAGTGGCTGGTGATGTTGGTGTTGATGGTGCAGGTGATGGTGTTGGTGTTGATGGTGCAGGTGATGGCGGTGGTGTTGGTGTTGATGGTGCAGGTGGTGGTGTTGATGGTGCAGGTGATGGTGGTGGTGTTGGTGTTGATGGTGCAGGTGATGGTGTTGGTGTTGATGGTGCAGGTGATGGTGGCGGTGTTGGTGTTGATGGTGCAGCTGATGGTGATGGTGGTGGTGTTGATGGTGCAGGTGATGGTGGTGGTGTTGGTGTTGATGGTGCGGGAGATGGTGGTGGTGTTGATGGTGCAGGTGATGGTGGCGGTGTTGGTGTTGATGGTGCAGCTGATGGTGATGGTGGTGGTGTTGATGGTGCAGGTGATGGTGGTGGTGTTGGTGTTGATGGTGCTGGTGATGGTGGTGGTGTTGATGGTGCAGGTGATGGTGATGGTGGTGGTGTTGATGGTGCAGGTGATGGTGGTGGTGGTGTTGATGGTGCAGGTGATGGCGGTGGTGTTGGTGTTGATGGTGCAGGTGATGGTGGTGGTGTTGGTGTTGATGGTGCAGGTGATGGTGTTGGTGTTGATGGTGCAGGTGATGGTGTTGGTGTTGATGGTGCAGGTGATGGTGGTGGTGTTGGTGTTGATGGTGCAGGTGATGGTGATGGTGTTGGTGTTGATGGTGCAGGTGATGGCGGTGGTGTTGGTGTTGATGGTGCAGGTGATGGTGGTGGTGTTGGTGTTGATGGTGCAGGTGATGGTGGTGGTGTTGGTGTTGATGGTGCAGGTGATGGTGTTGGTGTTGATGGTGCAGGTGATGGTGGTGGTGTTGGTGTTGATGGTGCAGGTGATGGTGGTGGTGTTGGTGATGATGGTGCAGGTGATGGTGGTGGTGTTGGTGTTGATGGTGCAGGTGATGGTGATGGTGTTGGTGTTGATGGTGCAGGTGATGGCGGTGGTGTTGGTGTTGATGGTGCAGGTGATGGTGGTGGTGTTGGTGTTGATGTTGATGGTGCAGGTGATGGTGTTGGTGTTGATGGTGCAGGTGTTGATGGTGCAGGTGATGGTGGTGGTGTTGGTGATGATGGTGCAGGTGATGGTGGTGGTGGTGTTGATGTTGATGGTGCAGGTGATGGTGGTGGTGTTGGTGTTGATGGTGCAGGTGATGGTGTTGGTGTTGATGGTGCAGGTGTTGATGGTGGTGTTGGTGTTGATGGTGCAGGTGATGATGATGGTGGTGGTGTTGGTGTTGATGGTGCAGGTGATGATGGTGATGATGGTGTTGTTGGTGTTGATGGTGCAGGTGATGATGGTGGTGGTGTTGTTGGTGTTGATGGTGCAGGTGATGATGATGGTGGTGTTGATGTTGATGGTGCAGGTGATGATGGTGGTGTTTTTGGTGTTGATGGTGCAGGTGATGATGGTGTTGGTGTTGATGGTGATGGTGCAGGTGATGATGGTGTTGTTGGTGTTGATGGTGCAGGTGATGATGGTGTTGATGGTGATGGTGCAGGTGATGATGGTGTTGTTGGTGTTGATGATGCAGGTGATGATGGTGATGTTGGTGTTGATGTTGATGGTGCAGGTGATGATGATGGTGCAGGTGATGATGGTGGTGTTGATGGTGCAGGTGATGATGGTGGTGTTGATGGTGCAGGTGATGATGGTGTTGTTGGTGTTGATGGTGCAGGTGATGATGATGGTGGTGGTGTTGGTGTTGATGGTGCAGGTGATGATGGTGATGTTGGTGTTGATGTTGATGGTGCAGGTGATGATGGTGGTGTTGGTGTTGATGTTGATGGTGCAGGTGATGATGATGTTGGTGTTGGTGTTGATGGTGCAGGTGATGATGATGGTGGTGTTGGTGTTGATGGTGCAGGTGATGATGATGGTGGTGGTGTTGGTGTTGATGGTGCAGGTGATGATGGTGATGTTGGTGTTGATGTTGTTGGTGCAGGTGATGATGGTGGTGTTGGTGTTGATGTTGATGGTGCAGGTGATGATGATGTTGGTGTTGGTGTTGATGGTGCAGGTGATGATGATGGTGGTGTTGTTGGTGTTGATGGTGCAGGTGATGATGATGGTGGCGATGTTGTTGGTGTTGATGGTGCCGGTGATGATGGTGCAGGTGATGATGGTGTTGTTGGTGTTGATGTTGCAGGTGATGATGGTGGTGGTGTTGATGGTGCAGGTGATGGTGGTGGTGTTGGTGTTGATGGTGCAGGTGATGATGATGGTGTTGTTGGTGATGATGCAGGTGATGATTATGGTGGCGATGTTGATGTTGATGGTGCAGGTGATGATGGTGATGATGTTGCAGGTGATGATGATGTTGGCGATGTCGATGAGTCGATGTGGGAGCTTGCCCCGGCGTGCATCCAGGCTGGCTTCCCACGGCCTCACCCTCACCGTCTGTGCAGCCTGCGGCCTGAGCTAGTCGAGGCCTTTGTAGAGAACAGGTGACTCACTCACTCACTCACTTAGTCACTCACTTAGTCACTCACTCACTCACTCAGCCACTCACTCACTCACTCAGTCACTCACTCAGCCACTCACTTAGTCACTCACTCAGTCACTCACTTAGTCACTCAGTCACTCACTTAGTCACTCACTTAGTCACTCATTTAGTCACTCACTAACTTAGTCACTCACTTAGTCACTCACTCACCCACTCACCCACTCACTCCAGGCTGGCTTCCCACGGCCTCACCCTCACCGTCTGTCTAGCCTGCGGCCTGAGCTAGTCGAGGCCTTTGTAGAGAACAGGTGACTCACTCACTCACTCAGTCACTCACTTAGTCACTCACTTAGTCACTCACTTAGTCACTCACTTAGTCACTCACTCACTCACCCACTCACCCACTCACTCACTCACTCACTTAGTCACTCACTCAGTCACTCGCTTAGTCACTCACTTAGTCACTCATTTAGTCAGTCACTTAGTCAGTCACTTAGTCAGTCACTCACTTAGTCACTCACTTAGTCACTCATTTAGTCACTCATTTAGTCACTCACTTAGTCACTCACTTAGTCACTCACTCACTCACTTAGTCACTCATTTAGTTACTCACTCAATCACTCACTTAGTCACTCACTCACTCACTCACCCACTCACTCACTCAGTCACTCACTTAGTCACTCACTTAGTCACTCACTTAGTCACTCATTTAGTCACTCACTTAGTCACTCACTCAGCCACTCACTCACTTAGTCACTCATTTAGTCACTCAGTCACTCACTCACCCACTCACTCACTCACCCACTCACTCACTCACCCACTCACTCACTCACTCACCCACTCACTCACTCACTCACCCACTCACTCACTCACTCACCCATTCACTCACCCACTCACCCACTCACTCACCCACTCATTCACTCACCCACTCACCCACTCACTCACCCACTCACTCACTCACTCACCCACTCACCCACTCACTCACCCACCCACCCACTCACCCACCCACTCACTCACCCACTCACTCACTCACTCACCCACCCACTCACTCACTCACCCACTCACCCACTCACTCACTCACCCACCCACTCACCCACTCACCCACCCACTCACTCACCCACCCACTCACCCACACACCCACTCACTCACCCACTCACTCACCCACTCACTCACCCACCCACTCACCCACCCACTCACTTACTCACCCACCCACTCACCCACTCACTCACTCACCCACTCACCCACTCACCCACTCACTCACCCACTCACTCACCCACTCACCCACTCACCCACTCACCCACTCACTCACCCACTCACTCACCCACTCACTCACTCACTCACCCACTCACCCACTCACTCACTCACCCACCCACTCACTCACCCACTCACCCACTCACCCACTCACTCACCCACTCACTCACCCACTCACTCACCCACTTACTCACCCACTCACTCACTCACCCACTCACTCACCCACTCACCCACTCACACACTCACTCACTCACCCACCCACTCACCCACTCACTCACCCACTCACTCACCCACTCACTCACCCACACACTCACTCACCCACTCACTCACTCACTCACCCACTCACTCACACACTCACTCACTCACTCACCCACTCACTCACTCACTCACACTCTCACCCACTCACTCACCCACTCACTCACCCACTCACTCACCCACTCACTCACCCACTCACCCACTCACCCACTCACTCACCCACTCACTCACCCACTCACCCACTCACCTACTCACCCACTCACCCACCCACTCACCCACTCACTCACTCACCCACTCACCCACTCACTCACTCACCCACTCACCCACTCACTCACCCACTCACTCACCCACTCACTCACTCACCCACTCACTCACCCACTCACTCACCCACCCACTCACCCACTCACTCATCCACTCACTCATCCACTCACTCACCCACTCACTCACCCACTCACTCACCCACTCACCCACCCACTCACTCACCCACCCACTCACCCACTCACTCACCCACTCACTCACCCACTCACTCACCCACACACTCACTCACCCACTCACTCACTCACTCACCCACTCACTCACCCACTCACACACTCACTCACTCACCCACTCACTCACTCACTCACCCACTCACCCACTCACTCACTCACCCACTCACTCACTCACTCACCCACTCACCGACTCACTCACTCACCCACCCACTCACCCACTCACCCACTCACCTACTCACCCACTCACCCACCCACTCACCCACTCACCCACCCACTCACCCACTCACTCACCCACTCACCCACTCACCCACTCACTCACCCACTCACTCACCCACTCACCCACTCACCCACTCACCCACTCACTCACCCACTCACCCACTCACCCACTCACCCACTCACTCACCCACTCACCCTGCCTAGGTATCTACGCTTCATGCAGAGTGCTGCTGTGAAGTTTGTGCAGCAGAAGGTGGACTCCAAGATGGCCGCCGATTCCAAGATGGCCGCTGGGAAGGGGGCGGAAGTGGAGGAGGATGGTCAGGGTTGCTCACCACTCACCACTCACTCACTCACCCAGCCACTCACTCACCCACTCACCCAGCCACTCACTCACTCACCCACTCACCCACTCACTCACCCACTCACTTACTCACTCACCCACTCACTCACTCACCTAGTCACTCACTCACCCACCCACCCACCCACCACCACGTGTCTCCCCCCACCCACCCACCCACCACCACGTGTCTCCCCCCACCCACCCACCCACCACCACGTGTCTCCCCCCCCACCCACCCACCCACCACCACGTGTCTCCCCCCACCCACCCACCCACCACCACGTGTCTCCCCCCACCCACCCACCCACCACCACGTGTCTCCCCCCACCCACCCACCCACCACCACGTGTCTCCCCCCACCCACCCACCCACCACCACGTGTCTCCCCCACCCACCCACCCACCACCACGTGTCTCCCCCCACCCACCCACCCACCACCACGTGTCTCCCCCCACCCACCCACCCACCACCACGTGTCTCCCCCCACCCACCCACCCACCACCACGTGTCTCCCCCCACCCACCCACCCACCACCACGTGTCTCCCCCCACCCACCCACCCACCACCACGTGTCCTCCCCCCCACCCACCCACCCACCACCACGTGTCTCCCCCCACCCACCCACCCACCACCACGTGTCTCCCCCCACCCACCCACCCACCACCACGTGTCTCCCCCCACCCACCCACCCACCCACCACCACGTGTCTCCCCCCACCCACCCACCCACCACCACGTGTCTCCCCCCACCCACCCACCCACCCACCACCACGTGTCTCCCCCCACCCACCCACCCACCCACCACCCACGTGTCTCCCCCCACCCACCCACCACCACGTGTCTCCCCCCACCCACCCACCACCACCACGTGTCTCCCCCACCCACCCACCCACCACCACGTGTCTCCCCCCACCCACCCACCCACCACCACGTGTCTCCCCCCACCCACCCACCCACCACCACGTGTCTCCCCCCACCCACCCACCCACCACCACGTGTCTCTCCCCACCCACCACCACGTGTCTCTCCCCCCACCCACCCACCACCACGTGTCTCCCCCCCCCACCCACCCACCACCACGTGTCTCCCCCCACCCACCCACCACCACGTGTCTCCCCCCACCCACCCACCCACCACCACGTGTCTCTCCCCACCCACCACCACGTGTCTCTCCCCCCACCCACCCACCACCACGTGTCTCCCCCCACCCACCCACCCACCACCACGTGTCTCCCCCCACCCACCCACCCACCACCACGTGTCTCCCCCCACCCACCCACCCACCACCACGTGTCTCCCCCCCACCCACCCACCCACCACCACGTGTCTCCCCCCTCACCCACCCACCCACCACCACGTGTCTCCCCCCACCCACCCACCCACCACCACGTGTCTCTCCCCCCACCCACCCACCACCACGTGTCTCTCCCCCCCCACCCACCCACCACCACGTGTCTCCCCCCACCCACCCACCACCACGTGTCTCCCCCCACCCACCCACCCACCACCACGTGTCTCCCCCCACCCACCCACCACCACGTGTCTCCCCCCACCCACCCACCCACCACCACGTGTCTCCCCCCACCCACCCACCCACCACCACGTGTCTCCCCCCCTCACCCACCCACCCACCACCACGTGTCTCCCCCCACCCACCCACCCACCACCACGTGTCTCTCCCCCCCCACCCACCCACCCACCACCACGTGTCTCTCCCCCCCCACCCACCCACCCACCACCACGTGTCTCTCCCCCCCCACCCACCCACCACCACGTGTCTCCCCCCACCCACCCACCACCACGTGTCTCCCCCCACCCACCCACCCACCACCACGTGTCTCCCCCCACCCACCCACCACCACGTGTCTCCCCCCACCCACCCACCCACCACCACGTGTCTCTCCCCACCCACCACCACGTGTCTCTCCCCCCACCCACCCACCACCACGTGTCTCCCACCACCCACCCACCCACCACCACGTGTCCTCTCCCCCCCCACCCACCCACCACCACGTGTCTCTCCCCCCCCACCCACCCACCCACCACCACGTGTCTCTCCCCACCCACCCACCCACCACCACGTGTCTCCCCCCACCCACCCACCACCACGTGTCTCCCCCCACCCACCCACCACCACGTGTCTCTCCCCACCCACCACCACGTGTCTCTCCCCCCACCCCACCCACCACCACGTGTCTCCCCCCACCCACCCACCCACCACCACGTGTCTCCCCCCCCCACCCACCCACCCACCACCACGTGTCTCCCCCCACCCACCCACCCACCACCACGTGTCTCCCCCCACCCACCCACCCACCACCACGTGTCTCCCCCCACCCACCCACCCACCCACCACCACGTGTCTCCCCCCACCCACCCACCCACCACCACGTGTCTCCCCCCACCCACCCACCACCACGTGTCTCCCCCCACCCACCCACCCACCACCACGTGTCTCCCCCCACCCACCCACCACCACGTGTCTCCCCCCACCCACCCACCCACCACCACGTGTCTCCCCCCCTCACCCACCCACCCACCACCACGTGTCTCCCCCCACCCACCCACCCACCACCACGTGTCTCTCCCCACCCACCCACCCACCACCACGTGTCTCTCCCCACCCACCACCACGTGTCTCTCCCCCCACCCACCCACCACCACGTGTCTCTCCCCACCCACCCACCCACCACCACGTGTCTCTCCCCCCCCACCCACCCACCCACCACCACGTGTCTCCCCCCACTAGTGGAGGGAGTGAATCTGCGTATCGTGAAGGAGGCTTGCCAGGAGGTTCACTCCCTCAGCGACTCCAAATTCCAGATACAGTTCAACCTCGACGCTTACTCACCAGGTACTCACCAGGTACTCACCAGGTACTCACCAGGTACTCACCACTCACCAGGTACTCACACTCACCAGGTACTCACCAGGTACTCACCAGGTACTCACCATAGCTACTCACCAGGTACTCACCAGGTACTCACACTCACCAGGTACTCACCAGGTACTCACCAGGTACTCACCAGGTACTGACCACTCACCAGGGACTCACCAGGTACTCACCACTTACTCACCACTCACCAGGTACTCACAATCACCAGGTACTCACCAGGTACTCACCAGGTACTCACCACTCACCAGGGACTCACCAGGTACTCACCATAGCTACTCACCAGGTACTCACCAGGTACTCACCACAGCTACTCACCAAGTACTCACCAAGTACTCACCATAGCTACTCACCAGGTACTCACCAGGTACTCACCAGGTACTCACCATAGCTACTCACCAGGTACTCACCAGGTACTCACACTCACCAGGTACTCACCAGGTACTCACCAGGTACTCACCAGGTACTCACCACTCACCAGGGTCTCACCAGGTACTCACCACTTACTCACCACTCACCAGGTACTCACAATCACCAGGTACTCACCAGGTACTCACCACTCACCAGGTACTCACCAGGTACTCACCAGGTACTCACCAGGTACTCACCACTCACCACTTACTCACCAGGTACTCACCACTTACTCACCACTCACCAGGTACTCACAATCACCAGGTACTCACCAGGTACTCACCAGGTACTCACCACTCACCAGGTACTCACCAGGTACTCACCACTTACTCACCACTCACCAGGTACTCACCAGGTACTCACCAGGTACTCACCACTCACCAGGTACTCACCAGGTACTCACACTCACCAGGTACTCACCAGGTACTCACCAGGTACTCACACTCACCAGGTACTCACCAGGTACTCACCAGGTACTCCCACTCACCAGGTACTCACCAGGTACTCACCAGGTACTCACCAGGTACTCACCACTCACCAGGTACTCACCAGGTACTCACCGCTTACTCACCACTCACCAGGTACTCACAATCACCAGGTACTCACCAGGTACTCACCAGGTACTCACACTCACCAGGTACTCACCAGGTACTCACCAGGTACTCACCATAGCTACTCACCAGGTACTCACCAGGTACTCACCAGGTACTCACCAGGTACTCACCAGGTACTCACCAGGTACTCACCAGGTACTCACCATAGCTACTCACCAGGTACTCACCACTCACCAGGTACTCACCACTCACCAGGTACTCACCAGGTACTCACCACTTACTCACCACTCACCAGGTACTCACAATCACCAGGTACTCACCAGGTACTCACCAGGTACTCACCACAGTTACTCACCAGGTACTCACCAGGTACTCACCACTCACCAGGTACTCACCAGGTACTCACCAGGTACTCACACTCACCAGGTACTCACCAGGTACTCACCACTTACTCACCACTCACCAGGTACTCACAATCACCAGGTACTCACCAGGTACTCACACTCACCAGGTACTCACCAGGTACTCAGCAGGTACTCACCACTCACCAGGTACTCACCAGGTACTCACACTCACCAGGTACTCACCACTCACCAGGTACTCACCAGGTACGCACCAGGTACTCACACTCACCAGGTACTCACCAGGTACTCACACTCACCAGGTACTCCCAATCACCAGGTACTCACCAGGTACTCACCAGGTACTCCCAATCACCAGGTACTCACCAGGTACTCACCAGGTACTCACCACTCACCAGGTACTCACCAGGTACTCACACTCACCAGGTACTCACCAGGTACTCACCACTCACACCAGGTACTCACACTCACCAGGTACTCACCAGGTACTCACCAGGTACTCACACTCACCAGGTACTCCCAATCACCAGGTACTCACCAGGTACTCACCAGGTACTCCCAATCACCAGGTACTCACCAGGTACTCACCAGGTACTCACCACTCACCAGGTACTCACCAGGTACTCACCACTCACCAGGCACTCACCAGGCACTCACCAGGTACTCACCAGGTACTCACACTCACCAGGTACTCACCAGGTACTCACCAGGTACTCACCACTCACCAGGTACTCACCAGGTACTCACCAGGTACTCACCACTTACTCACCACTCACCAGGTACTCACAATCACCAGGTACTCACCAGGTACTCACCAGGTACTCACACTCACCAGGTACTCACCAGGTACTCACCAGGTACTCACCACTCACCAGGTACTCACCAGGTACTCACCAGGTACTCACACTCACCAGGTACTCACCAGGTACTCACCAGGTACTCACCACTCACACCAGGTACTCACACTCACCAGGTACTCACCAGGTACTCACCAGGTACTCACACTCACCAGGTACTCCCAATCACCAGGTACTCACCAGGTACTCACCAGGTACTCCCAATCACCAGGTACTCACCAGGTACTCACCAGGTACTCACCACTCACCAGGTACTCACCAGGTACTCACCACTCACCAGGTACTCACCAGGTACTCACCACTCACCAGGCACTCACCAGGCACTCACCAGGTACTCACCAGGTACTCGCACTCACCAGGTACTCACCAGGTACTCACCACTCACCAGGTACTCACCAGGTACTCATCAGGTACTCACCACTCACCAGGTACTCACCACTCACCAGGTACTCACCAGGTACTCACCAGGTACTCACCACTCACCAGGTACTCACCAGGTACTCACCAGGTACTCACACTCACCAGGTACTCACCAGGTACTCACACTCACCAGGTACTCACACTCACCAGGTACTCACCAGGCACTCACCAGGTACTCACACTCACCAGGTACTCACCAGGTACTCACCACTCACCAGGTACTCACCAGGTACTCACCAGGTACTCACCACTCACCAGGTACTCACAGGTACTCACCAGGTACTCACCACTCACCAGGTACTCACAATCACCAGGTACTCACCACTCACACCAGGTACTCACCAGGTACTCACAATCACCAGGTACTCACCAGGTACTCACCAGGTACTCACACTCACCAGATACTCACCAGGTACTCACCAGGTACTCACACTCACCAGGTACTCACAATCACCAGGTACTCACCAGGTACTCACCAGGTACTCACCACTTACTCACCACTCACCAGGTACTCACCAGGTACTCACCACTCACCAGTTACTCACCAGGTACTCACCACTTACTCACCACTCACCAGGTACTCACCAGGTACTCACCACTCACCAGGTACTCACCAGGTACTCACCACTCACCAGGTACTCACCAGGTACTCACCAGGTACTCACCACTCACAATCACCAGGTACTCACCAGGTACTCACCACTCACCAGGTACTCATCAGGTACTCACCAGGTACTCACCACTCACAATCACCAGGTACTCACCAGGTACTCACCAAATACTCACCAGGTACTCACCAGCCTCTCCCCCCCTCCATGACCCCTCGTGACCCCCCGTGACCCCCCCCGTGACCCCCCGTGACCCCCCCACGACCCCCCCATGACCCCCGTGACCCCCCGTGACCCCGCGTGACCCCCCGTGTCCCCCCGTGACCCCCGTGACCCCGCGTGACCCCACGTGACCCCCCCCCCCCCCATGACCCCCCCGCGCCCCCCCCGCGCCCCCCCCCTGTGACCCCCCGTGACCCCCCTGTGACCCCCCGTGACCCCCCCCGTGTCTGCCCCAGGTGTTCGTTTCCCGCCCTCTGATTTCCCGGCTCTCCGTGCTCAACGTCGTCTCTTTAGAGACGCAGCTCAGTTCGTCATCACTCACCAGATCCCAGCTCTGGTGAGTGACTCACTCACCCACTCACTCACTCTCCCACTCACTCACCCACTCACTCACTCAACCACTCACCCACCCACTCACTCACTCACCCACTCACTCACTCACCCACTCACTCACTCACCCACTCACTCACTCACCCACTCACCCAGTCACTCACTCACCCAGTCACTCACTCACCCACTCACCCACTCACTCACTCACCCACTCACTCACCCACTCACTCACCCAGTCACTCACCCACTCACCCACTCACCCACTCACTCACCCACTCACTCAGTCACCCAGTCACTCACCCACTCACCCACTCACTCACACACCCACTCAGTCACCCAGTCACTCACCCACTCACCCAGTCACCCACCCACTCACTCACTCACTCTCCCACTCACTCACCCACCCACTCACTCACTCAACCACTCACCCACCCACTCACTCACTCACCCACTCACTCACCCACTCACTCACTCACCCACTCACTCACTCACCCAGTCACTCACTCACCCACTCACCCACTCACCCACTCACTCACTCACCCACTCACTCACCCACTCACTCACCCAGTCACTCACCCACTCACCCACTCACTCACACACCCACTCACCCACTCACTCACCCAGTCACTCACCCACTCACCCACTCACCCAGTCACCCACCCACTCACTCACTCACTCACCCACTCACTCACTCACCCACTCACCCACTCACCCAGTCACCCACCCACTCACTCACTCACTCTCCCACTCACTCACCCACTCACTCACTCAACCACTCACCCACCCACTCACTCACTCACTCACCCACTCACTCACTCACTCACCCACTCACTCACTCACTCACTCACCCACTCACTCACCCAGTCACTCACTCACCCAGTCACTCACTCACCCACTCACCCACTCACCCACTCACTCACTCACCCACTCACTCACCCACTCACTCACCCAGTCACTCACCCACTCACCCACTCACTCACACACCCACTCACCCACTCACTCACCCAGTCACTCACCCACTCACCCACTCACCCAGTCACCCACCCACTCACTCACTCACTCACCCACTCACTCACTCACCCACTCACTCACTCAACCACTCACCCACCCACTCACTCACTCACTCACCCACTCACTCACTCACTCACCCACTCACTCACTCACTCACCCACTCACTCACCCAGTCACTCACTCACCCAGTCACTCACTCACCCACTCACCCACTCACCCACTCACTCACTCACCCACTCACTCACCCACTCACTCACCCAGTCACTCACCCACTCACCCACTCACTCACACACCCACTCACTCACCCAGTCACTCACCCACTCACCCACTCACCCACTCACCCACTCACTCACTCACCCACTCACTCACCCACTCACTCACTCACCCACTCACTCACTCACCCACTCACTCACCCACTCACTCACCCACTCACCCACTCACTCACCCACTCACTCACTCACCCACTCACCCACTCACTCACCCACTCACCCACCCACCCACTCACTCACCCACCCACTCACCCACCCACCCACTCACCCACTCACCCACTCACCCACCCACTCACCCACTCACCCACCCACCCACCCACTCACTCACTCACCCACTCACCCACCCACTCACTCACCCACCCACCCACTCACTCACCCACCCACTCACCCACCCACCCACTCACCCACTCACCCACTCACTCACTCACCCACTCACCCACTCACCCACCCACTCACCCACCCACTCACTCACTCACCCAATCACCCACCCACTCACTCACCCACCCACCCACTCACTCACCCACCCACTCACCCACCCACCCACTCACCCACTCACCCACTCACTCACCCACCCACTCACCCACTCACCCACCCACCCACCCACTCACCCACTCACCCACCCACTCACCCACTCACCCACTCACCCACCCACTCACCCACTCACCCACTCACCCACCCACTCACCCACTCACCCACTCACCCACCCACTCACTCACCCACTCACTCACCCACTCACCCACCCACCCACTCACTCACCCACCCACCCACCCACTCACCCACCCACCCACCCACTCACTCACCCACCCACTCACCCACTCACTCACTCACCCACTCACTCACCCACTCACTCACTCACTCACCCACTCACCCACCCACTCACCCACTCACCCACCCACCCACTCACTCACCCACCCACTCACCCACCCACCCACTCACCCACTCACCCACCCACCCACCCACCCACTCACCCACTCACCCACTCACCCACTCACCCACCCACTCACTCACTCACCCACCCACCCACCCACTCACCCACTCACCCACTCACCCACCCACCCACCCACCCACTCACCACCCCCCGTGCCCTCCTCCTCCCCACCAGGTGAGTGACCTCACCTGCCCGTCCTCCGCGTCTCTGCCCCTGGACGGGGCCTCGCTGTTGCTGCTGCTGCACCAGCGAGGGGTGAACGCTCGATATCTCGGGGACGTCCTCAAGCAGATGGGGATGGTGGGGGGCACCGACCTCGGAGTGGGGGGCACCGGCGACAAAGTGGGGGGCACCAGCGGCCGTGGACACGCAGCATACGTAGGTGGTGGGGGGGTGATGGTGTGGGGTGGGGGGGGGGTGATGGTGTGTGGGGGGGGGGAGGTGATGGTCTCAATTTTTGTCTCAACTTTGTCTCAACTTTGTCTCAAGTTTGGTCTCAAATTTTGTCCCAAATTCGGTCTCAAAATTAGTCCCACATTTCGTCTCAACTTTGTCTCAAATTTTGTCCCAAATTTTGTCTCAAATTTATTCTCAAATTTCGTCTCAAATTTTGTCCCAAATTTTGTCCCAAATTTTGTCTCAAATTGCATCTCAAATTTAGTTTCAAATCTCGTCCCAAATTTCGTCTCAACTTTGTCTCAAATTTCGTCTCAAATTTTGTCCCAAATTTCGTCTCAAATTGCGTCTCAACTTCGTCTCAAATTTCGTCTCAAATTAAGTCTCAACTTTGTCTCAAATTTGTTCTCAAATTTGGTCTCAAATTTCGTCTCAATTTTGTCTCAAATTTCGTCTCAACTTTGTCTCAAATCTCGTCCCAAATTTCGTCTCAACTTTGTCTCAAATTTCGTCTCAAATTTTGTCCCAAATTTCGTCTCAAATTTCGTCTCAACTTCGTCTCAAATTTCGTCTCAAATTTTGTCTCAACTTTGTCTCAAATTTTGTCTCAAATTTGTTCTCAAATTTCGTCTCAAATTTGTTCTCAAATTTGGTCTCAAATTTGGTCTCAACTTTGTCCCAAATTTCGTCTCAAATTTCGTCCCAAATTTCGTCTCAAATCTCGTCCCAAATTTTGCGCGCGGTCCATTTTAAACGGCATCCTGTCGCTGTATCGTTTGCAGCCGCTGCACCCGAATCCAGAGCCGGATGGCTCGCGGGGTTATTCCCAACAACTTGGATAGCGAGCAACTAGGCCTGCGGATGTTTGGATAACACGAGCCAAAACGTTTTAACTATAAACATTCACTTATTATTGGTTCTTTAGGTAAAGTCACCACCGCGTTAGAAGGGAAACAATAAAATAATAAAAATATAAAACAATAAAATTATTATTCTTGGTTCTTTAGGTAAAGTCACCACCACGTAGAAGGGAAACAATAAAATAATAAAAATATAAAACAATAAAATAATAAATATATAAAACAATAAAATTATTGTAAAACAATAAAATTATTATTCTTGGTTCTTTGGGTAAAGTCACCACCACGTAGAAGGGAAACAATAAAATAATAAAAATATAAAACAATAAAAATTATTGTAAAGCAATAAAATTAATCTTGGTTCATTCGGTAAAGTCACCACGTAGAAGGGAAACAATAAAATAATAAAAATATAAAACATTAAAATTATTGTACAACAATGAAATTATTCTTGGTTCTTTAGGTAAAGTCACCACGTAGAAGGGAAACAATAAAAT